TGGTGATCCTGGCAGTGATTGCCCAGGCATCTTCTTTGAACCACTGATCCCAAGGAGAGCTACCTGTGTTCACTGTAGATGGCTGGTTTCTTACCTACCTGTAAGACTTTTTTTTTTAAAGGTTTATTTATTTTTATTTATGTGTATGTGTGTGTTTCTGTGTGAGTGTATGCTATGTGTATGCTGGAAGAAGCTGGGAACTGAACTTGAGTCCTCTGGGAGTTTCTTAAGTACTGAGCCATCTCTCCAGTCCCTACCAGGAAGACTTTAATCCTCTCTTAAGGTGCACCTTAAGTTGTTTGCAGGAGCTAGGATGATCTGAGAAATGAGAAGTCCCCAGGGAGATCCCAGTCTGACATCATCATAGTCTCCCAGTGAGAGGAGAGACCTAATTTTCTTTGCATTTGATTCTTTAAAGAAGTACCCTTATCTTATGTGAAATTTCTTTTTCTCCTCCACTTTTTTTCCCTTGTCTGTTCCAAGACAAGTTCTCCAGTATCTTTCTGGTTGGCCTTGAGCTTTCTAAGTCTCTGAGAATGACTGAGAGCTCTTCCTAACTCTGCCTCTTGAAGAGGACTGGGATTACAGGTGTACCACCTTGCCCAGCTATGCCAGATTTCTTACATTCTTTCCCACTGTCATCTGTCACACCTAACAACTTATTTTGCATGTATACATCTGTACCACTGTGATTTGTTAAAATAATGAACCTGGTACTGTGGCTTGATTCCAGGGAAAGCAAGACTCCTATGTGTAGAAATTTGTCTTACCTTTGGCAACTCTAACTCATGTTAGAATGAGAGTGAAATTATGTCTTTAAAGATACCTTTCTGCTTCCTGTGACAGTCTTGTTCTCCCCACTTCCCCTTAAAAAAAGCTATTTATTGAAGTTGTGTTACTGTGCTATTGGAATTTTCTTTTTAAATTTCTTAGCTTGTGTATGTTTTACTGATGCTATTGATGACTTAGTCACATGGGAATAGCCAGTGTGTATCTTCTTAACAAGGATTACATATTCAGCTGGGCATGGAGGCATATGCCTTTAATCCCAGCACTCTGAGGCAGGCGGATCTCTGTGAGTTTGAGGTCAGCCTGGTCTACATAGCAAGTGCCAAGTCAGCTGGGGCTACAGGGAGACCCTGTCTCAAAAAGACCAAAAATAAATAAATAAAGCATTACATATTCAGTGATTTTTTTTTTCCCACAAAGTTTACCACTGTGGAACATGGATTCACAGAATATACCTGAAAATTTCATTCTATAGTTAAATAATGTTAGACTTCTCCCAGTATATGGGAGAAACATCAATGAAGAATTCTTCCTGCTGTTACCGGTCCCTTGTTTCTTTTTCTCTTCAGTTTGGAATTGTTACAGCATGTTATCTGAGTGTAAAATTCTCTGTTGTATTGATTTAAATATCCAGTAATATTTCTTGCTTACCTGTAAAAAACTCTTTCCTTATTAGTGGTTTACTTTTTATCTTTGAAAACTATTTAAAACAAAAAATTTTTGTTTTAATGTTAAACTCTCTTCTTTAAGTGCAAATAATGAAGATAGTGATAAAGAAAATCAAGTAAACAGTTGTACGTATTAATATGTTGTTAATATGTGATACATATCACATACTATATATAATAATGCATATATATTAGTATGTGATACACATACACACCCTTCTGAAAATTGTCTAAAGTTTGATGAACCTTCTGAAGCCCAAGAACAAGCTAGGTCTAATAACTCCAAGCTGTTCTGGTAAGTGTGCATCCTGAAGAGCTGTTCTGGATTGACTTTAAAAAGGCAGCTGCATTTGTTTGGCCATCATCTTTGTTCTATCTTCTTGAGCATTAGTATTGCTACCAGGTAGAATCTATCTCAGTGCACCTTTGGAACACTGGCAGTTCTCATCACAAATGTATGTGATCATCAGTGAAATGTGATTGTCCCTCTTTTGCTGCTGCTGACACCTAAATACAGATAAGTGTGGGACGGGGGTAGAAGTAGAAATGGAAATTCCAAATAACCACACAGTGTTTGCTGAGTGGGCAGTGGATGGAGTGAGTATATGAGACCCAGAAGGCTTGCAGTAAGTTTTTAGAATCCATCTCTTGATGTACTATAGCTCTTTATGCCTGGGAACTGGTACAGGTATCAGTAGGTCTCAGGTAGATTCCGTAGTGATCATTAACCATTTGCTACACCTGCAGCTTTGGGTCTGTTTTCAGAAGGTAGCTCTGGGTGGGGCTAGGAGAGCAGAAGGGATGGCGTGTTATAATGGCCTCAGTAATTATTCAGGAATTTGGTGAGTGTCTTTAAGAGCCCTGACTTTTTCCTTCTTTCCTTCCTTCCTTCCTTCCTCCCTCCCTCCCTCCCTCCCTCAAGGAGAGGGGAGGAAGGAAGGAAGGATAAATAATACAAAAGTCGATAGATGATATTTATGAGTGCTTTAAATGTGTGGCCTTGTTGGTACTTATGACTTTTCTTCTGATTATCCACAACTTCCCATTTTTAAGTGAAGGAAAGTGAAGTCAGAGCATCAAGTTCCCCTAGCCAGTGAGTTTAAGAGGTCAGGCAGGTGCCCTATGGAAGAGTAAAACCCTTTTGTTTTTCACTGGTTTGTTAATATTTGGAAAGGGTTCTAACTGTGTAGCCTGACCTGGCCTCAAGCTCTAGATCCTTTTGCTTTAGCTTCCTGAGTGTTGGTGTTACTGGTATGTGCCACCATGCCAGGCAAAAAACCTTTTAAAAATATTTTTATTCTTTGGGAATTTTTCATAATGTATTTGATCATATTCACCCCCCCATCCTCTAACTCCTCCCAGATCTACCCCACCCAACTTCAAATCTTACTTAAAACCGTATTCCTGATTATAGCACTAGATTCATACTACAAACTACTGGCATTGGAAGAAATTGCAAGATAGTTGATTTCTGCTCACGTACTGTGTATTCTCAGTTAACAGGGTCATGTTGAAGCTGCCTGTTATGTGGGAGGTGGGAGATTTGTAACCTAAACACCAAGAAAACACTTAGAAATGCAAACACAGATTGACTTTTCATCTGGCATGGGAAATAAGTGATATATTTTGAGCCTTGATCCCCTTCTGTAAAGTGGGTGAAATAATATGTATCCTAACTTTAGGTTTGCCGTGAGGACCCAGCCATGCTTTATAAACTACAGAGAACCTTCTAGGTGGCGTGACTTGGAAACATTGGCCTTTCTGTGGATTGTTTTCCTTTGTGTTCTCCTGTGCTTAACTCTACATGGGTTACAAAGTGAACAGTTTGTGTTTTCTCTTACAGAGGTACAGTTCTGGCCAGGATGATTGAATGATTATGTTTTGGGGGGATCAGTAAACAATGGTGCTGTGGGAGTTTAGGGCAGGGAAGTACATGCTGAAATAGTACTGCCCAGGGAATTCCTTACAAAGTGCACAGTATAGTGAACTGAGTAGATGTCAAATGCTGTGGTGTTCAGACACAGCGAACATAGTTCATTCTGTAGAAAATTTCCTTTGCCTTTAAAATAAAAACAACTAAGAACTTAGGCCAGCATATGCCTTTTTAATAAAAATCTTACTTATGGCCTGTCAGAAGGTGTGGGGTTTTTACCATGAAGGAAGGAATGTCCTTACTCTGAAAATGGAGTGTAGAGGTACTTTGACTTCTTTTCTAAAAGTGTTCATCCCAGTTCTACCCTTCCAGCAGCAGAGAAAACTCTTCTGAACCTTAGGGGTCAGCAGTATCATTAATCATGGTTAGTATGATTAACAGTCTTCTTTTCCCCTCCATTATTGAACAACAAAGAACACCAACTAATTTGGGATTTTAAGGCATGTATAAATTCTTGTGAGTAAAAATAGCTGATAGCTGAAGTGAAAAGAGTTTATCAGTCTGCAAAAGAAGGTGACTAACCAGCTGGTTGCAGAGAACAGCTTTCCCATTCCAGTGACTAGTTAATAAAATTATTCCTGACAGTGGCGGGCCAAGGAGCTCTGGCAACTCCATATTTAGAGACAGAGAACCCATTGTCCAAAGATCTCAGAAGAGCCTTTGCAAGCACACAGAAGGGATTTAGAACAATTTGCATAAATCTCCCCATGGTTAGGGACATGGTTCCAGTGTTGGGGATGTTCCAGGAGCCCCTCCTTGGCTGTATCATGGGGTGACGCTGTGCTTGGTGAGAACTCAATCTCATGATCGTTTTTGCCAACAGGATTGGGTGATGAGACTCTGAATAAGCCCACTGTTCGGTTCCACATAAGGGTTCTTTTGTGTTGGCTTGGGGCAGTAATGTTCAAGTTTGTCTTGCTTTTTCACCACTGATGTTTTTGGACTTTGTGGCCTGGAGAATTAAGCACAACACCTATTCTGAGCTAATCCGTCAAATTTTACTAATGGAAGGTAACCACAGCCTCTGTATTTCTAGAATGTGAAGAATAATAGTCACACCTTTGGAGACTTATGATTTATTAAAAGTTGGGGAGAGGCGGACAAGTTCCGTGGCATGTCTAGGTAGCAAGGTGTACATACTGTTCATGGAGGAACTGTGGGAAGCAATTCCCTTTGGTTCCTTAATATGATTTGCCTAGTTCACTGACTTCTTTTAAGAAATGTGTTTCTATGCATGATTGGCAAATAGGTTGTACTCGATATTTAATATTCCCACCTGAAAGGCATGAGTTACCCTTGGGCGTACTTTTAAAAATGCCAGGTGTTTACTAATCTGTTTCAACTTTTTTTTCCCTTTTAAAAATGATCTACACCAAACATTAGATATTAAGAGCTTCCCTGGTTTCTTACACAGAATGTTATCATCCTAGAAGCCACAAGGAGTCTAATTTAAAATCTGGGGACTGGTTTATGCTCTGGGGAAGTTTGGTTCTTTATGTACAAAAATGAAATCTACTAATTTCTAACCTGAAGTTTATTTTTCTTCAGTCTGTTAGCTTGATTTCTCAGCTTTGTTTTAATAATATAAACATTTTTATGTTTATTTATAGGTGGCTTTAACCAAGAGAGCAGATCCAGCTGAGCTTAGAACAATATTTTTGAAGGTCAGTATAAAGTAGTCTATTTTGTTTCTTGTTTGGGTTGTGTTCTATAACTTTAGAAGATCATTTCAAACAGCTCTTTATTTCATTGTTGAAAATTTAGAAACATCTCTCAAAGTATCTTAATATAGGGTTTATGAAAGGGATCCTTCATAATTCTACTTGTTAAAGCATGTGGAAAACGTGTAGCCGATGGCTGGTAATGGGAACATGGTTTATATTTTAATTTCTTTCTTGTCACCCGATGTCAAGAACTGACAAGTACCTGGAGGATTGAACTTTATAACTCATTGACTTATGGAGGTTGATTTCTGAAGGGTGGTGGCAATGCTTTTTCTCCTAAAAAGTTTGAAGTTCTTTGTCAGCCTCCTAATGACCCTCCATCCTCTAGGGGGGACTGCCCTTACTCTCCAGGGTAAACACTGTATTACCACTGTGGTGCTTTGGGGAGCACTCCCCAAGGATAGACACCAGAGCACACCAGATACATAAGAACTTATTTCCTGTCATAGTGGACAATAATTGATTAATACAGTGATAGTCTACCTCAGGTCTCAAACACTAAAACACCTTTGGGTTGTTTAGCATAGTTGGAAAAGAGGCAGGCAGATCTCTGTGAGTTCCAGGCCAGCCTGGTCTACATAGTTCCAGGCCAGCTGGGACTACAGGGAGACCCTATCTCAAAAAGACCAGAAAATAAAAAAAAAATAAAAATAAATAAAAATAAATAAAACAAATTTTAAAAGTAATAAAAAATGAAAAAAGAATGGAGGGCTGAGAATGTGACAGCTATAGAATGGATGGGGCCCTAGGTTTGACACAGCAAAGAGGGAGGGAGGGAGGAAGGGAAGGAGGGAGGGAGAGAGAGAAGGAGAGACAGAGACAGAAACACACTACGGAACTTGAATATTGACAGGATATTTGCTATTAAAAAATTATGCTTATTTTAGGCTGGGTAATGACATTTTGATTATAGAAATAAGCAGATATCTTTTAAGGGCATAAACTGAAGCATTTATATATAAGAATGGGGTATTGGAGATTTGCTTTAAAATAATCTGATTTTGGTGGAGTGAGAGAAATGAGTGAGCAGTGTCATGAAAAATTTTGAAATTAGGAAGTGGAATATTAGTCTTATGTCACTTTTTTCCTCTACTTTGTATGTTTGAGCATTTTCCTAATGAAAAGTTAGTTAAAGCTTGTATAATTTATGTGATGGGCCCAGTACCTGACATACTTTATTGACTCAGTAACTGCTTAAAATTAAATGATCCAAATATAGGAAAGAGAAAGATTCCAAAAGTAAAATTAAATATAGGAGAGTTTTCAGAGGAGGAAGGATGTTTAAATTTGGATTGTGTATATAATCAGAGTCCTTATAAATTTGATTTTAGTCAAGAAGGGCTAATATAGAATAGTGTAAGGTGGCAAAGGATCCCTGAGCTTGGAGGTCCAGAAAACAGATGGCATTCATTTCTTCCTTAAGTTGATATGTCATTGCGCCCACCATGACTGGAATGAACTTTACGAAGGACCAAAAGCAACTTTAACATGTGTTTTTAAGTCCTGCTGACATTGTAAGACTGACAATATAATTCTGAAAGACACTTGGAGAAAAACACCTGGATGGGTTGTCAAAGAACCTAGGGTAATGATTCAAAGGTCATAAACTTGAGTCATTGAAGTCATAATTATTCTTTGAGTTTAGTTTTCTAGATAAGAGTTGTGAATGACCTTAAGATAGAAAGTGAGAATACTTAGTATTTCAGTAGCTGGTACAACTTGAATGCCTGGTGGTCTGTTGGTGGGATCTATTTGAAAGACTCTCTAGTTAACACGGTGTCCAGCTGATGTTTCATATGGGATGACATGTCTTTGCCAGCTGCTATGTCTGCTTCCGTCATCAGGCAAGTCTCTTGGCCCCAGTAGACTCACAGAGGGGAAGAACTCTGTGCAGAGCTATAAACAGCCACCAGCGTTGTTTCTGTGTATGTGGGCCTCAAGGTTGGGCTTGAAATCTTTGGCACCAGATAGGGGACTACGTGACTTTTGGGTGAGGGCTTTGTATGGCTTGGAGTCTGAGGAGATGCAGGGGAGGAGGAGGGTACCTGCAGAAAACAGCATCAGCAGTTTGTGGAAGGGTTTGTGGATCTGGCACAGGCTCTGGTGACCTCACCAGGCCTGGATAGTGTGGGACCAACACAAATCCACCTCAGCTCAGCATGCTAAGGATTTATTGTTTATTGTCTACCACAGATGATGTTGTGGTGAAGGGAGAGAAAGGAGAAGGAGGTGCCGTGGGGGCTGTCGGGCTGGACCTGTTAGTTAAATACAGATGAGTAGTCAGCATTCTGCAAACCTGTCTACGCTGCTGATTTCCTATTCATGAGTTTTTCTGACTTAATTTTTCTCCTTAGTGGAAACACCATGTGAAATATCCCAAATATCTCACTGCTAACCTAGAGAGGAAGGATTCTGCTGCAGCATGGGGGAGATGCAAAGGAGCTTCATTTAAGCTATGGGTCATAGGAGAGCTGAGCAGGTTGAGGCTCTTAGAGGACTGGAGTGGATGCCCTTCTAGCTTTTTAGCATATGTTTTTGAGAAGAGTGAAAATCAGTTTCACTTTTTTTTTTTTGGTTGCCTACTATATGTTGAGCATAAAAAGATGCATAAATCATGGCGCCTGCCCTTAAATATCTCACTGTGTGTATGTAATGAAACAAAGAGCCATGGTATGGTTGACAGGTGTGGCAGAGCATTAATTTGCAAGGAGATTATGAGAGCAATCACCTCTTCCTACAGAGGCTCAGAGAGGAGGGTTTGAGCTGAGATTGAAGATGAATGGGTATTTGTCAGATAGAGAAGGTAGAGAATGGTGTGAAGCTTGTTCCAGACAAAGTGCATCTTGAGGGAATAACCAATGACTTTAGAGGTCTAGTCTTGGGCAGTCATAAGAGAATGGTCATGATAGTGAGGCTTGGTTTGAAGCATGTCTCCTAATGCATTTGAAAGCACTTTGTAGGCTGTTCTTGTGGCAAGTAATAGGTAGGGTTTTACCTGCATGTGGAAGTTGAAATCCAGATAGTTAATTCTGGTTCTCTTCACAATACTGTCAAATGTTTTTGGTCTGCCTATTGCATTTATTGTAGCTTAGTGCCAGTTTAAACAGGTATTGTATATAGTTTAAATCAAGCTCCATGAAACTGCTGAAAGTGGGATGAGTGAAAAAGGTATAGAGGTAATGAACTACCTCAAAGGAGCTCAAAAAAAGAAAGGAGCTCAAAACTGGTACAGGAGACCAGTTTACAGGCACCCAGCAGGTGAAGGGACTGGGTAAGTGTACTCAAAGGGTTCATTTCTGTGGACTATAGCAAAGTCCATAGGAAACAAGAAGGAGCAGTCACCATTATGGGCAGGAATTAGGGAAGGCTGGAAGAGGGCATGAGGCACCACTGCGGCAGTGGGAGGGGAGAAGAGGACCATGTGAGAGGAGGCCTGGGGATGGCTGAGGAGAAAACAGTCTCTCCAGGTTGAACTTGTTCTGCAAATTTTTGTTTGTTTGTTTTCTATTTAAAGAGTACTCTGTGCCAGGGAGTGTGCTATGCATTATAGGATGTTGGATGGCACAACTGGGGCAATCGTTGGGAGCCTGCTAGGCCAGAAAACTAATGGGAGCCATTGAAGGTCCTCTGGGTGGTCAAAGATAGAGAGAATGGGCTTGTGATTGGACTGGTGTAGCTGCCCATGAGGCCTCGAAGCCCTTTGGATGTCCTTGATTCAGGTCCTGGTTGCAGAAGCAGTGGGGAATGAGGAAGTCAGGATCACTTGGAGGGCATATTTGATATTCGATCTTTATAATGGACAGTGACTACCCCGAGTGCAAAGAGACACCAGCAATAAGAACAGAGAAATTGGGAGGGGACCAGTACCACAGGATGGTAGGTAGAAAGGGGGAAAGGTGTACTCTGTGGATGGGCAGAGTCAAAGCGACCACATTTCTGATGTGGAAGATGAGCGCACAGGGGCTCAGCCCTAGTGGGATGCACTGCACTGTAGTGGAGAGTTGTAATTGGAATTTTAGTCTTGGTCTACTGACAAAAGCATGGTGTACACTGTGAACGTGTTTGTAGGCAAACTTTGAAAACCAATTCATTTCTTGTTTGAAGAACTTTTTTCTTACAACCAGTTTTTATCATTGTTGAAGATTTTAAAGGCAGATATATAAAGAAAAGTGACTTTTGGGGCTGGAGAGATGGTTCAGTGGTTGAGAGTACTGACTACTCTTGCAGAGGACCCGGTTCTTTTCCCAGCACCCATATGGTGGCTAACAACCACCCGTAACTCCAGTTCTAGGGAATCTGATGGCTTCTTCTGACCTCCGCAGGCATTGCATGACACGGGTGCACTTACATACATGCAGGCAGTATACGCATATGCATAAAATAAAATAAATAAAATATTTTAAAAAATAGAAAAGTGACTTTTGATCTGAGCATAAGTATAGAATCTCTGTTTCCGATTATTTTCTTTAACAGAAAAAACATTGTCATTTATATACAGTTTTCCTCTCATCTAATGTAATATGAATACCTTTATAATTCTGATTATATAGTTTTTGAAGCTGTGTGATATTCCTAGGTATGGCCGTTTTACTAGACTTATCTAATCTTTATCAGAGGTTCTCACCTCTGATTTGCCGTCATAGTGACACTTGAATGAATGCCCCCCCCGCCTTTTTTTTTTAAATTGTAATTGTAATTGAATTGACTCTAGGCCAGGCAAATTCTAAGGAAGCATTTACCAACTGAGTTCTATCCCCAGTCCTGTAATGTATATCCTCATACTTACATTTTTTCATATACCTTGCATTATTATTATTTTTTTTTTAGGAGAAATTCCTAGATGTGGCCATCAATGGGCTTATAGTAGTCTAAGACTTTTGATTACTCTTGGCAGACTGCCTTTCATGAACATTGTCTATATGTATATTTTGGGCTGGCCT